CAGGAAGGGAGCCTGTGGGACCGACAAAGAACCTACACAGTTCAGAGGAGGTGTGTTGTGTACAGGCGAATACTGGCAGCTAAGCATAGGGGGAATGTCAGGGTACACACGGGTCCATTACAGGTATAAACATAACTGGTCACTGTCTGAACTCTGCGTTACATACTGCCAACTCTGCACTGTGCGTTGCTTACTACTGACCCATGCATTCTGCTTCACATATTACTGCCCCAGAACTTTGCGTTACTTACTACCAACCTCTTCACTCACATACTATTGATGCCTGCACTTTGCATTAATTACTCCTGACCCCTGGACTCTGTGTTATATACTACTGACCCCTGCACTCTGTGTTGCTTACTACTGACCCCTGCACAGTGCGTTACTTGCTACTGATCCATGCTTTACATACTACCCCCCCCTCCCGAACTCTGCATTACTTACTACCGACTTCTGCACTTTGCTTCACATACTACTGACCCCTGCACTCTGCATTACTTATTTCTGACCCCTGGACTCTGTAAAATATACAACTGACCCCTGCACTCTGCCTTTGTTACTCTTGACCGCTGCACTGTGCGTTACTTACTCCTGAACCCATCACTATGCATTACATATTACTGACCCCTCCACTCTGCATTCCTTACTTCTGACCTTTGCACTGTGTGTTACTTACTCCAGAACCTGACACTGTTAGTTACATACTCCTGACCCCTGCACTGTCCTGACCAAAATGTATGATGATCTGACAGGCCAAAACAAGCCCAGCCAAGGCAGAATAGGGCTTTGCGAGGCTATCTCTGTCCTAGAGGCCTTGAAGTGGCAGATCTGGGCACACTGCAGGAGAACTAAAGCTACTAATATGGTGATAGGAAGAAATGAGGAACAGAGGATATACAATTCAGTGGAGGAATTAGAGAAAGTTAGATTGAATTTCAATTTCTTTTAGTTGATTGAAGAATTGAATTGAAGATTTTTCAGTTGTTTGCTAATATTTTCCCTGAAATAAGGTTTACAGCGGGTTTGTTGTATTGCTGTCTGCTTCCCTTTCTCCATATTCATAAACGTACACAACTATATGTGCCTTATGATATTTATGGCTAGAACTTGGAGCAGGTCATTACAATAGTCAGGCCATGAGGTTTTAAATGCATGGATCAATCTTGGCATATCTTTGACTGGGATCTGGCGTTTATATTCTGATTTTCTTGAGATGAAAAAAAGTAGCTGATCTTTACTGGTCATATAACCACGAACTTCGATTAAGGGGTTTAATATGAATTCCTGTAACTGCTATCAAAAAACATATTTTAGGCAGGATGGCCAGTCCAGAAATCACCATACAAGGCTTGTGTGCCAGGAACAGAGTTCTTTTTACTATCCATGCAGAGCCAAAGTTGAGCTTTTTAGTTGTTGAAATAGCCTGTATTTTTCTTGAAGACATTTCACTAGACATCCCACCAGCTTTCTCAATTCAGAATGACTTGTACAAAATATTATCTGGGAATAAATATGCTGAATCTTGCTCCAATCCACGTAATCTGTTAGTCACAACCAGGTGTTGATGCATAATTGGGGTCTAGAGAGGTGTTAAAACAGCATTGTATGTGGCAGACAATAGATGTCTTAACCCCCCCGCACCTCTTTTCAAGCTTGTCATTCTGAATTGAGAAAGCTGGTCGGATGTTCAGTGAAACGTCTTCAAGAAAAATACAGCAAGTCCAGTTGCCTTGACTTATTTTTTACAGATATTGAGCTTTTTAGGCTCAGCAGAAAATGCACTGCACAATCATACCATTTTCAACAGAAAATTGCAGAGTGGTGCCATCTGCTGGGTCTTAGGGTGAGATACAGTTTTTTTTGTTTGTTTTTTTGTTAAAGGAGAACTATGGGGTTAGGGCTTTTCCCCATAGTTCTCATTAGGGTAACGGGAGGATACAAACTAGCGTCCTCCCGTTACCCTAAGCTCAGTATACCGCGAGTTATAGCTTGCGGTATCAGGGGTGTGGAATTTTTTTTAAATCTACTTGTCCAAGGGCTAAAGCGGGGGCCAAATCTACTTGTCCTTCGTGACAATCTACTTGTCCCAATATGAAAAAATAGTTTTAATCAAAACTAGGGATGCACCAATACCGGTTTTTCGGTATCGAGTACGAGTACTGATTTTTTGCTCTCGGATCTCGCCGCCACTGAATACAATACCGGTGCTTCCGCTGGCATGGAGCAGGCTTCCCTGTTAATCAGGAAGCCGGGCAGCGGGTAATGCTTAAAGGAGAACTATGAGGTGAGTGCTCCACAATGTACATTCAGCTCTGCTTGTCCGGAGCCGGGCTAAATGTACATAAAAACTACTCGCCCGAAACTGCATGATCCCGGGCGTCGGGCGATAGGAATTCCACACCCCTGGGTATACTGAGACGCCGCAGCTGAAGCGGATCCCGACAATTATGTCTGGATCCGCCCAGCTGCGTGAGTGACAGCTGGCTCTGCCTATCTAGAGGCAGAGCAGGCTGTACCCGCCCCCTCTCCCGTCTGTTCCTCCAGTCAGCGCTGGCGGATCGGAGCGGGGAGGAGGGAATCCAGCCCCTCCCCCTGTCACGGCAGAGAGTCGTGACATGATCGAGAGGTGAGCGAACGCCGGTATGTGTTCGCTCACTTCCCGATCTACTGAGCCGACCTGTGACAGTTTCATTGCCACACATCGGCTAGAACTATGAGGTGAGTGAAAAGCACTCACCTCATAGTTCTCCTTTAAGCATTATAGACAGCCCTGGTGGCAGCCTTTTGGTACTTGCTGTGATGTCCTTTGCAGGCCCCAGTACTCAGTAATGGAAGCATTCATTTGTAAAGGGGCTGTAATCAGGGGCGTATCTGCCGCGATGCAAACAAGGCGTTTGCCTCGGGCGGCAGAGATTTGTTCATTTTAATTTCTTTTCTTTTTTACTTGTATTTCACTTTAAGGGTTAATAAACCCTCAGGGTTTTTTTTCCATACATCTACTGCTAGTAAGCAGTAGATATATGCAAAAAGTGTTTTAAAAAAAAGACGATTTTAAAAGGGTTAATACTTACCTGTGTCTTCCCCGAGCGCTCCCATCCGAAAATGTGAAAATTCTCAGGCGGCCGCAAAGCATCTTGGGGTGGGCGTATGCACAGTTCACATTTTCGGCTGGGACGTGAGGAGAGACACAAGGTAAGTCTATGGACACGTGCACCCGCACGGGGCAGGAAGTTCCAGCAAGCTCAGAGGAGTCAGCGCTGGATCGGAGACCCGCCGCATCGCTGGAGGGACAGATGAAAAGGAAAGGAAAGAAGAAGATCAGATTAAGAGACATCATTAAAGGTAAGTGCTGACATTAACATTGGGGGGAGGGAAAAAGATTTTTTACTTTAATGTCACTTTAACTTTATTGCTATCACACAGGTTAACAAGTTTCTGTGTGATAGCGTTCTCTTTATGAGCCTGCCCTCCAGTACAGACTTTGGACACTGGACTTAGGACGCAATGGACATAGGAACGCAATTGACACTTGACATAGGAACGCAACTGACACTTGACATAGGAACGCAACTGACACTTGACATAGGAACGCAACTGGCACTTGACATAGGAACGCAATGGACTCGTCCCGGGATCGTGCAGTCCTGCACAATGCAGGCCGCGATTGCCGTGCGGCCCCATTCATTTCAATGGGGTGACATCCGTGCGGCAATGGCAGAAAAAAGGTACACGACGCGCGGCTGTTTTAGCCGGGATCATGTTTGGAAGCACGGGTGGAATCGCGGCGGGAAACCGTGCAATCCGCCCGGCGCGACTGGGGTGCCTTTAGAAAATAATGGCACCCAGAGCTCGATCAGTGCACACCTAGGTGACTCCTGACCGCGCGGAATCGTGCATGATTTCCGTGCGGTGATGTGTCCTCTAGGTGTGCACAGGCCCCTAGGAACGCACTAGACTCTGGACTTTGCAACACAAAGGCTAAAAACAGAAGTATATTCACTACTCACAGATAATACAAACCTGGAGTTGTAGTAAGAAGCATGCAGCTCTATAGATTGAGAACTGAACAACTACATCTAAAGAGGCAGAGCCAGCTGTCAATCAGCTATTGGAGTGGATCCTGACAATTTTGCTGGGATCTTTCTTGACCTCATTGCCGCTCAGCACAGTCAGCATATAGTGGGCAATAGCCTGCTATATGCTGATTTTTGGGTCACAGGAGGACATTAATAAATGGGAGCGGCCCGATACGTCCGTGCACACGCACGGATCTGTACGGCCCCACTCTACGCTGTGCGAATGAGGCCTTAAGAAAACTATGGCCAAAAAAGGGTGGGCCATAGTTCTCTTTTAACTGAACATACCGGAGAAGCTGATTGGTTACTACAGGCATCTGGTCCAGATTCTGTACATTCTAGTTTTTATAAATTCCCCTCACTGTCTGCATGCATAAGCAGCCAAGCCCCATGCACACCTTGGTGTACCAGGAACACGCACCGCATTCACATGCATTTCTTCCCACACATCATCCATTGATTTTAATGGGTGCCGCACACGTGACAAACGCAAGAAGTAGCTCATGTAGCTACAGGCATTTTTCCTGTGCGTTTGTACACATTTCCTCAGCTTTGCTTGGGGTGTCATTAACAAGTAATGGTGGCAGGTGCCACAAGCGAATGAGCATTCCTTGAACACACATCAAAGCGTGCGCATTGCGTTTGTTCACGGAATGCAAAGGCGTGAACGGGAATTTATGCACATGTGTAGGTGTGAACAGGCCTATATAGTTTACACACTATACAGCTGTGTACAGATGTGAAGCAGCCACATAGGAAACCATGGGCTTTCTACTTGTAATACATGAGTGAGTTGTACTTCATGAAAGTGTGACAAGGCCCATGATAGAAGCTTGTCCTGACCTATCCTTGTATATGGAGTTGTAGTGAAGGGTTCAGTATGGTGACGGAGAAGGAGGAGGGGTTGTTATGAGAGGAGGAACACGGAGGAGTGAGCAGCACAGGCCGCTTCCTGGAGGAGGACGCAGCTGGCTTGGAAGTACTGCTTTCACCCGGGAACAAGATGATCCTGGACAGCATAGCTCGGGTCATTAAGGTGCAGCTTCCCGCCTATCTGAAGAGACTGCCGGTACCGGACAGCATCGCCGGCTTCATTAGGCTGACAGGTAAGCGAAGCCGGCTGGAGAGGAGCTCAGGCCTTGTACAGTCCGGTGTGTGTCTCTCATACATTGCCAGGCGCTGGCTGCCATCATCACATGTTCTGCTGACTGGAGATAAAGTGAACTTTCTAAAGGGAAGCTAGAGAGGAGGGGGTACAGGAACACATATATAAATGGAACACGTCCTCTCAGCATTTCTCTTACCTGCCTGGGAAGCCTTAGATGGGAGCTGACAGTCTTTGACTTGTACATAATACACTTTTCTGCTGCATCGCAATAATGTGCATTTCCCCTCATCTGACAGGACATAGGCTTTTCTCCTCAAGAAAAAGAACTGTAAGGCCCCATTCAGATCCATGCAGGGACACACAAGACAGTGTTTGGTGCCCTGCAATACCCTTATTTCTTAATGGCACCCAGTCATCAAACGTGCATTGCCCTGCACCACAACACCTGGTAGCCTATTACTGTACATTGTGCGTGGCAAGTTTAAAAAAAAAAAAAGGATCATGTACTTCTTTGTATGATTTACATGTGCTAGGCATGTCATTCAAATGAATGGGCTGCCCCACTATTACACCTGTGAATAAACACTGCGATGCACAGGCGATGAGTGACTAGAGCAGTGGTGGTGAACCTTAGCACTCCAGCTGTGCCAAAACTACATATCCCAACATGCATCTGCCTCTGGGAGTTATGTCTGTGGCTGTCAGAGCCTTGCAATGCCTCATGGGACTTGTAGTTCCAAAGCAGCTGGAGTGCCAAGGTTCGCCATCACTGGATTAGAGCGTAAGGCCCCTTTCAAACGGGTGGGCCGATTTGGTACGCCTGTCACTTTTTCAATTACTAATCTGTGGACAGCTGGGTTCTAAACAGACAGACGTTTGGTTACTTCCGACTCCGGCCAGGTCTGGAAAAACAAATGGAACAGGCCTGATTGTGCTGGATCGGGGGTAATCCGATGTAAATGACCCATGTCCCTTTACATCCAATTCCCCATACACAGACATGATGTCCACTCAATTCAGTTTTTCTAAAATTCGATCGGGGGAAAAAACTGGACAGACATGGATGCCACAGAGGTGACATCTGATCCGTTCTGCGCCGATCAGGAGTGGATCTGTGCACGGATCCTCTCCTGATCAGCCCGTGTGAACAGGGCCTAACGGCGCGTTCACACCGGATGCAGTGATCCACACATGGACACAGGGAATGTTTTTGCTCTCCGTGTGCTCCATTCACACCATACGTGTGCTTTGTGGAAATATGCAGCTCAATGAACAAAAACAGGTGTCAGTGTGCAACAGCGGGACACAGCGCTCTGTTGTGCATAGAGGTGAAAAAAGTGTCACTGTGTGACGTGTCAATAAAAAAAACCAAACATTGAGATGCATTGTTGCAACAGATCACACCACACACCACCGTGCATGCGTTTTACAGACTGTGTGTCTGCTGGTGTTTAATGCATCTTAAATGTGTTTAGCTCATTTAAAGTAGTATTAAACTCCTTTTTACATAAATACATTCATATACAGCCAAATAGTATTTCCCAATAAAAAGTATATTTCGATTTCTGCCCTATGTTACAAAGCCGCTTGCTTCAGCTCTC